GCCTTCTAGCAAGTAGCATTGACGCCAGTAAAATTATCGACATTGCTATAGAAAAAACAATTTTGTTTTGTTGTTGTTTACAGACATAACACCATTTTCCAACCGATAACTCTTGCACTATTAAAAGGTTCAGCGGATCAAGAAGCTTATGTATGCTCGTTTGTTTGATAAAACCAAATGTTGACATCGTAGAACAAAAGGTTTCCTGGAGTTGAAGACACTGTTTAAATGGTAGAAGACCTGCAATCAGTTCAGTGTCTTCACATTGCTCTGCGCGACTCATAAAATGACAATTTTACATCGCGTGCGTACAATATTGAATTATCTTGACATAATAAAAGTAAACACAATATTCTTTATTTCTGAAAGCATCAAATCTGGACAGTTGGCTTATATGAAGCATTTAACCCGCCTTGATCGAGCTATATAACTGGTTATCATGATTAGCTTATAAACATTCCTTCTCAGTTCTATTGACAATAGCACTGCTTTTATGTTTCCGTAGGTCGAACATAACTTGTGTTGTTTACATCAAGCACAAAAAAAATAACAACGCGATCAAACATACATGACAGGATCATCAAAACTACGTGGAAATTTGAGCTGTGAGTGAATTACTCCTATGGAAGTACTCAGCGCCGGGGAGTCTTTTATCAAGGAATCGTCGAGAAAAGCGTGGTTACTCGACACACACTACTTGACTAATTATCATTTGGAAAGCTCGTCCACTAAGCTCTAGCGAATTCGTAATTGCCTGTTCAGCCAAGATACGCATAATCAATCATAATAACAAGCTTGCGTCGACGAATGTCTTCGCTTGATCACTGAATAAGCAATTGTCGGGAAAGAGAATCCTGGAGGTGAAGATTTGCATTAAGACATAACGCATCTACTAGAAGCTACTAGACACATACACGCGGATTTCCTTGGGCAGTGGAGAATCTAGATGAGTAAACAAACTAAACAGTGATTTATGGCGTAATTGTAATCAATCGACGGTTCCTCTCATGGTAAGAAGTTGAAGTGCAGTTTGCGCCTGTACGATGATCGTTGCATGCGATGGCAGACCGTTGATCTTGAGATGTTTATCCAGCGCAAGGGTTTTACCACCGCAAACTGCCCAGAGAAAGTACAGGTCAGTTGGGGCCGTATAATCGGCTTTTATTTGGTTTTTGTTTGCATTCCTAATTGCGCTTTTAAACTACCCTTTGGTTTTCTTGTTCGTTTTAGACCATTAAGTGAGCTAAGTCCTCCGGCTTTGCCACGAAAACACAAAAAAAAGCCCTCTGGTACCCAGCTAGGGTACTGAAACTTTTACCATATTCACCGGTTAGGATGTATCACTTGTAAACAAGTTACGGTGATTCCTTCTTTTCTTTTGTTTATAGCACATACAGTACTGCACTATTATTTAAGCTTAAACGCTATATTTAGGCTGAATGTCCATCCATGTATATCCCTTAAAGAGAGCAACGATGATAGCCAAATATAAACAGCTTCGAGGCAGAACATCTCGTTCACCCCGTTATTTGGCCAACATGAGAATATGGAACCCGGGGCAGGTTTCTAGCAAGTGAAAACGCTCGTTGAAACGGTAAGATGTTAGAAACACGTTACAGTGTTTACACAGATACATATAACCGCCACCAAAAACAAATTGTTGATATGTGAAACTTACTAAAGATTTCCTAGCCGGGCAGTATACGTTCTTCAGAAATGATTAAAAATTAAGATTGTCAGAGGTTAATTAGGTAGTTTTACGTTCAGCCCACCTTTCAATCGGCGGTTATGAAACTGAAATACAAGCCTTTCCGCCAACCTAAAGATATTTATAAATTAGAGGTGTTTTTTCCAACAGGTTTCCTGATTTCGTTTTATGGAAGTTCGATCTTTGGGCTTACATGTAAAACTAGACCAAACTGTTGCAATTGAATTACAGACGCCAACTTTACAAGCTTACAAGAGGAACTTGAAGTTTAATTTAAGATTGTTCTTCGAATAAGAATTGCTGCTTTTGATTTAAACAACTCGAAGTGTTGTAATCATAAATCACCTCGCAAAACCCTCTGTCGGGTGAAAGCGCAATCTGATTGGCTCCACAAGGGCCATCTAATGAGATCGATAGACAGCATCAGGAACTGATCAATCTTTGAAAATGGAGTATAGTGTTTTGTTTGATAAATTGGTCAGTAGGTAACCGTATTTTCCGATTAAGCTCCCCGGCGTTTATTTCAAACTTCAAGAGCTTCGTTGATCCGGCGGAGTATATTAGAGACTTTAATCATTAATTTTTAAAGCTAAATATAAACCTCTGTTTATTATGCCTCGAAAATGAATCCCTTGAAAGTCTTATTTAAAAATCTACAAGGGAAACCCGGCGTTAACATTTGGCACCCGGCGTTAAATCGAGAAAATACGGTATGCTAAGACGATTAAACTGTTCGGTGACAGTATATATCGCCTTTGATAGTTGCTCGCCGTCTTATTGTTCAATACTTGCCAGTTCTGTTATTGACAGTCGAATGCTTCACGACAAATGCATATCAATTGCTACCGATGATAATGATAATGATAATGATGATGACGGAAGACGATTCGGACGATTCGGACCGAGCACTGAGGCATTTGCCAATCTCTTGATTCTTTATGCTGAGTACCATTTTCTTTGCCGCTCACATACTGTCGAATTTGCCAGAGTTGACTTGCATGAAGCCTGCTTGCCTCTATGTTGGGCCTTTCCAAAAATATGCGGATATTTTATGGGATATTTAGAAGTTTCCGAGATATCAACTGTTTACTTATATTCGCTGTTTATACTTGAAACGAACACAGTTCAATGCCAGAACCAATCCAGTTGAGCAATTTTCCACTTGAAAAATGTATTCAATATCACTAATAACACTATAGAGGAGTAATTCTCCAAAATGGCGGGTGCTGGTAACATCGAAGCACCTAAATCGTCTTCCTCTACTCTTTCTACTACTGCAAGAAAATATTGCGTAGCCTAAGGGATTCAAAATCAATTTATTTTTGAAACAAAAAGAAGAGATATTGTTAAGAGGATTTTTCAAGATATTTATTAGAAAAACTTTTGTTATATTTAGAAATGTTTTGAGAATTTCGGGGAAAATATTAATTTAGACGATTTTACGTGATGTTTGTGGAAAGGCCTACTCCATGTCCACTCGTGCAATAGTTAGAGCTTGACATGATTTACACAAGACTTTGAAACCGTGCCAACATAGTAGATAATTTTTTAGGAAACTGGAGGGTTTCCAGAATGTGTGAAATTTGTAGCACTTAGAACCTGGTACAAACGTTTCAGACTGTGCAAATGCGTGCGAACTGTTTCGATATTTATTCTCAACGTGTAAACAGGGCG